CACACCTTCTGCCATGGGCTGGTGCAGGCAGGGCCTCTGGGATCATCACCCCTGGCAGGCTCTGGTGAGATTGGGCACTGGGAACACCTGGGCTGCACCATGAACAGCCCCTGTGCCAGCAGCTCCAGGCACCACACCCTGCTCAGAAAAGGCTTCTTTGAAAACTGTGGAAGCTGAGTGCCTCCACCCCTGCCATGGCTTTGTGTTTGGTGGTGGATGGGTGGTTCTTGTGGGCCCTGACTGCAGAGCTGTGCTGGCCATAGCTGTGGTGTGACAGAGGCACACACAGCACTGCATGGGGATCCTCACAGAGCTGCAGCACTGCAGGCACTCACAGAGCCTGCCAGAGCTTGGACAAATATCACAGCTTTAATTAGAACAGAAAACACCCTTGCTGCTAATAATTATTTTAAACACACCAGTAGAAGGGCATGAGCTCTGTAATTACCAAGGTTAAACAGCAGCTGCTCCTCAGCGAAGCTTTGGGAATGGGAGTTCCTTGGGCATCGTTGAGGGGTCTCTGCTCCCCCTGCCCCCAGGCCAGGCAGTGAACCACACCTGAGCCTTGGCCACTCTGGGGAATGTGAAACCCATGGAAAAACTAAACCTGATGCCTGTGGTGAGGGCAGGCACAGCACCACGGCCACCCCACCCAGCACCACCCCTGCAGCCCCCCCTGCCCCTTCCCACTCTGGGGCTGAGGCTGCTGCAGCATCTCTGAGCAGCCCTGCCTGCCCTGCCAGCCCCCCCTGGCCCCTCAGCATCAGCCCACAGCAGCAGGTGGGCAGGGGGCCCACAGCAATGCTGAGGGGAATCAAAACTCACCAAGCGTCACCGTGTCTGGCTCCAAAATTTATTGAACTACAAACACACATCACTCAAGAGCACCAGGTCTGGAGGAATGTGAGGCACCAAGCCCCTGCCACTAAGAGGGGGCAGGAGCGTCAGCTTCTGCTTTATTTGAACACAGACAACACCCCAAACCCAACAGAAATAATGCTACAGCAGAATTACAACGGTAATGGCACAGAATTTACAAAAATATAAATAACCTATTCGTAACCTTAAAGAAAAATAACATCTACCATAAAAAACAACACATATTCCCTTGGGTAAACCATGGCTACAGAAATGTAGTGATTTGGTTTTTTTGAAAAGCACCAGAGTCTGAAGTATTAAATAATCCAACACAGAGGGGGTATCTCCCCCCAACACTTGCAGACTCTTCCAAGAAGTGTGCCCAAATCAGTAACACCAAGTCTTCTTCAGTATTGCTATTTCTGTAAAAGCACATTGGAGGGAGAGCTCTCATGAGCCCCCTGTTCAGGAACAGCACCCGAGGGATGTTCACCAATTGTTCACCAGAATAAACACTTTAACAACAGTGAAGTATGTGCCTATTTTAAGTCTATGCTTAAGAGCTTCCCAGAACAGGGCTAGATTTAAACTTATCATACAAATTCCTCTGCAAATCAGACTTCCAGGCAAGACTGGTGTGGAAACCAATCACTTGTTAAAAAATAACCCCACTGCACTGGAGTGTTCCCACTGTTCAGTCCTAGCTCAAGTTTGCACAGATTTCAGAGTTATTTGATTTGTTTCACCTCTCTGTGAGCCATGCCAGCTTGGCACAAATGGCTTCCTGAGGCTGTGACATGAGATCCAGCACCACAGGAATTTCCCTACCTTACATTCTATGTGCTATGTTGAAAATACTATTAAAAAGCAAAAGTCAAGTATCAATTCCATTGGTTCCCCAGTGAAGCAGCTCCCTGCTCAGGGATCACTGTTGTTCTGATGTCTGAGTCACAGCGTTTCCCTGTTTTCAAGGCTCTCATGGTTCCCTGAGGGCTCTGGCTGGGCTCGAGGCAGCCTGGCCAGGTGGTTTTAGGGTGGGCTAAAGGCTCCCTGTTGAACTTTTGGCCCTTGTAAACACAGCTGGGTTTGTCACCACAGCTGAAGGAAGGTTTCTGCCACGAGCACAGTGAGAGTGGGGAGCAGCCTTTGCCTGGGAGCTGGGGGAGCCTCACTGCTGCAAAGCCACGTCCTGCAGGGCTCCTGTGCAGTGCCCAGCCCTGCTGGAGCACCAGCCAGTGAGGCTTGCACTGACACCACAGGTGAGGCTCTCAGGGGGAACCCAGAACAGCTCAAACACACAGAAAACCAGCCCTGCCACACCCTGTGGCACAGCCAGGGCCTGAGGGGCAGCACCATGAGGCAGGGGCTGTGGCATGGCACACACCCTGTATGGCACACACCCTGTATGGCACAGCCAGGGCCTGAGGGGCAGCACCATAAGGCAGGGGCTGGGGACACACCTGCATGGCACACACCTGCATGGCACACACCCTGTATGGCACACACCCTGTATGGCACACACCCTGTATGGCACAGCCAAGGCCTGAGGGGCAGCACCATGAGGCAGGGGCATGGCACACACCCTGTATGGCACACACCCTGTATGGCACAGCCAAGGCCTGAGGGGCAGCACCATGAGGCAGGGGCTGGGGACACACCTGCATGGCACAGCCCATACCCACACCCAGCACAGCACACACCCTCTGTGCTGCACCCTCAGGGTGGGTGAGGGTGAGTTTTGAGTACAAGTAATATTGCTCAGACATCAAACAATTGAAAAATAAGTTTACCTTAAAAGCTATGAAGAAAATGAGGTTGATTTCATTATAAAAGTGAGAAAAACCCCTAAACAAAAGAACTAAATCCTCACTTCACTTGTTTGGCCCAGAGCCCCACTCTGGCACACCAATGGAGCTGCCCAGCATGTGAGGAGATTTGCAGCACACACCTGTGGCATGTCACCATCATCCACAGCTCTAATTTACCAGCCCTTCCTGCCCATCTCCTGCTCCTGACAGGGGCAGGCTGGCTCTGCCATCCTGCCTGGCTGCCACTGCTCTGTGCACTCCAAGTGACCACACACTGGTGGCACTGGTGACACAGAGCACACGGGACAAGCTGCCCAGTCCAGTTCCAACTTCAAAGCCAGGGCCAGCAAACTGAGCTGCAGGGAGGCTCTTACTCAGAGGCAGTGGGTGAAGTTATTTTCCTTCCCACTGGAAGTGACTACGTCCACAGAGGGATTAAATATTTATTGGATTTTGCGAGGTGATTAAACCCAGCACTCTCCCTTCCACAGAAAAGCCTCCAACAGGAAATCCCTGGCCCCAGGCTGTGTGTGCTATAGCAACACTCCCTAACAGTCCAAGAGTCTGACTAATCCTGGCCCCACATGGCTCAAAGTTCAACGCTGTAGGTCTTGGGGAGCAAAGAGCAATAAAACGACCTCGACTGTGGAAGAAACAAGCAGAGAGGGAAACTGCCAGCTCCGGCTCCAACTGCCCATGCCTTTGTTTATCTGAGCACATCCTGGGTGTGTTCAAGCCACAACATCTTTAAACAGGGAAAGAAAACACCAGCAGCTATTGCTCCCTGGGGTGTGGGGGAGATCTGCCTTCCTAGAAGGGCACTTGCTTCTCTGAGGTACCGTGGTCAGATAAAGGAGAATTCTGTGGGGTCTTGGAGGGGCAGCAGGCAGTGGGGTAACAGTGCCACTTGCTGGTGACCACCACAGCACTGGCTCGTGCTGAGACCCCGGTGACAGGCAGGACAGCAGAGAGCAGCCCCAGCCACACAGTGGGGGACAAAGCAAGTGCCACCAGCTCAGCTCAGCCCCAGCGATGCTGTCTGCCAGTCAGTGGCTACGGTGACACCACATCACAGAACACCCTGAGTTGGAAGGGACCACAAAGATCACAGAGTTTAACTCTGAAGTGAATTGCTCACAGAGGCACTGAGCCCTCAGCCCTGGTGTGACCAGCAGCAGGCTCTGCTGGCAGCTGCCCTGCCCGTGACCCCCAGCATGCCCAGCCGCCCCCACACTGCTCTGCCCCGCTCAGGAACGTGTCCTGCAGCCCCTGCTCCCTTCCAGGGCCACCAGCACAGCCCCATGGCCAGGGCACACCGGGAACAGCCCAGCTGCCTGCAGCCCAACACTGAAATCAGGGTGACAGCAAGGCCATGGCAAGTCATGACAAATCCCCCAGGGTGAAATACCAAGCAGGAGGGTGCTCCCCCTTCCCAGTAGCAGCTCCCAGGAATGAGAAATCAGGCCATTTTTAGGCAGGAAAAAAAAGAAAAATGTTGTTTTAAAAGAAGAGGAGCTTCTGGAGGAGCTCCTGCTGTGGCAGGCACAGGAATGTCACTGCTGCCTGTGACCACAGCCACAGCTTCAGCCCTCAGCTGCCACTCACGGGGCAGCGTCCCTGCCCCTGACACCCTGTGCCACCACAGGTGGTTTGTGAAGCCTTGGAGGCGATGTGCAGTGAACATCCATGGGGCTGGGGTGAGCCAGCACCTGCCCATGGCCAACAACCACAGCCCAACGGGGGCTTACATCAGCTCATCACGAGAGTCAGTCTGAAATCGTGCCAGGATGCCACACTGCACCACAAAGGGGCACGAGAGGAAGGTGCCAGGGTGGCACAGAGGGACAAAGGATGGAGCCTGGCACATCAGCCATGGTCAGATCCTCTGCCAAGGAAGTTGCAGCACAGAGGAAGAGAAGCAACTCAAAAGTAAACTGAGAAAACGGCAACTGGCACCCAGGAAAGCAGAGCACGGGCCAGAGGAAGGATGGGAAAGCTGGAATGGAAGGGAGGAGATGGCTGGGCTCATAGGAGGGCACTGCCCATGGACAGTGAGCCCCATGGCTGAGGAACCCCATGGCAACAGTGGGGCAGAACAGGGCTCACTGCAGAGCCAGAGCACCACAGTAACCAACAGGGAAGGGTGCCACAACTAGAGCAAAAACAGCCTCTGGAGGGGCCTGAGCAAGGAAGAGGCACAGCTGTGCTTGCTGAACCCCTGTGCAGAGACACCCATCATGTCCATTCCACAACGCAAAAACCACCTCTGTGTCCTCCTGCCACGCACCCAGGGAGGTTCTGTGCCTGCAGGCCGCAGTTTCAGCAGTGCCTGGAGTCCCTGTGTCCCCGGGTGTCCCCTAGCGCTGGCGGTCGGGCGCGGGGCTCAGCGTGAAGTGGTCACAGAGCAGCAGCAGGGCGTCGAAGCGCTGGAGCCGCTGCAGCGCCCGCGCCAGCAGAGGGACGGTGACCACGGCTCCTGCAGAGGTGAAGTGTGCCACCAGCTGCTCAAAGCCCGAGATCCGCCCCAGCAGCTGCGGCATCAGCCCCAGCTCCAGAGCCACGTGGCTGAAGTTCTTCACTCCGTTCAAGGAAGGGTCCAACAGGAAGGCCAGAGACTGCACCAAGGAATGGGGCAGCTCTGCTATGGGGAGACCTGGGGACGGCAACACAGCAAAGGTGGGTTAGGACACATCCTATGCAAACAGGAAAAGGGCAGAGAGAACAGCCTCCAGCCTCAGGCCCTGCTGAGCAGGTGAAAGGCCACCCTGCCAGGGCAGGGATCTCCTCCAACATCACTTTGAGAGCGCAGCAACATGGAGCTGGCTCAGTCCTGGGGAAGCTGGTAACTGGTGTCAGCTGGGCCACCTGCCCACAGGCCACTCGAGGCAGCACCACAGAAAATATACCCTGTGGACCAAAGGCCCCAAGTCAGGTGAGTCCCTGGTGGGCTTCTGGAGGAGCTCCCTTCCAAGAACCTGCCTCTGATATGCCCGTACTTGGAGCACAAAGGTAAGACTGAAGGCCACTTACCACTGGCCGTGCTGCTGATCTGAGTCACCAGGCTCTGGGCATCACCCACCTGGCAAGACAAAGACACCAAGGTTGGTGGCAGTCCCCTGAGAACAGCCAAGCCTGGCTCTGCTCCCAGGGCTCACACAGGGGCTCAGGGAATGGTGCTCCTTCTCCAGCCTTACCACCCCATATTAACACAACTCAGTCCATATTCCTACCCCTATGTTGAGCCCTCTGTGTCTGAGCCTTGGGCAACTGGCAGCAGTTCTGAGGAGTGTAAGGCAGGAGGAACTCACCGGCTGCTCCCCAGGTGGGGTTTCAGCTGTGGGCAGGTGATGAGCCCCCTCCTGCACCCCAGCACTGCTCTCTGCTGGAATCCTCCTCCCAGCCCGGCCAGCCGCGTCCTCCAGCCTCTCAGCACCCACAAACTCCGCCTGGCTGGAGAACTTCTGCAGGTCCAGCTCAGTGCACTCCACGGGCGCGTGGGGCCACTTGTGCTGCATCTCGGAGGCGCAGGAGGAGAGGGGGGCCAGGGCCTCCACCGTGCCCTGCCTGGGGCCGGGGGGCAGCAGGACCCCCTCCAGGCAGTCCCCATGGCCCGGGGCCCGGATCAGGGGCTGGCTTTCCAGCAGGCTCCTGCCCAGCTGGGCCTTGGAGGCAGTGCTGGCTGCGATGGCTGGTGGCAACTCCATCTCTGGCTGGAGAGAGGGGAGCTGGAGACCCACGGCTTCCCCATCAGAAATGAACTGCACAGCTTCCACGGGGCCTGGGACAGAAAACAGCATTCATCAGTGAAGCTCAGCATCCAGCTCCATCCTTCCTGCCTCAGGGCTTCTCATCCTGGAGTCCAGCACCACCCTCCCTTCCCCAGGGCAAGAACAAGAGCAGGTACCTTCTGCCTGCCTGTAGCAAGGGCTCAAATTCTTCACACCCAGGCAGCAGGGTCCAGACATCTGCTCCTCACACAGGAACCTGCCAGGAGCTGCTGCAGTTGGGAAGGTTGCTCGCTGGCCCGAGAAGTTCTGAGTCCTCAGGAAGACTTGGAGGAAAGAGGAGAAACAGCCTGAGCAAAGGCTTGGCTCGCTTCCCTCGCATGTGCTCAGCCCTGTGGTATGTCTGCCAGCGAGGAGCTGGGAGCCCAGCAGCTCCCTGGCACGCTGCTGGATGCCATCCTGCCCCAACCCTGGCCACCACACCTACAGCCCTCCTCATTCTGCAGCAAAGAGCCACCCGAGCAGAAAAACCTCAGAAGGGAGGGCTGCCAGTTCTGACAGTGAAATGGCCTCCTCCTCCTCCTCCTGATGGCCCTAAGAAGGAGGGAGGCTCCTCTGTGTCACTGAGCAGGTAAAGCACACACAGAGAGGCCCTGCAGGCATGAGAAGCAGGATGAGGTGTCTATTCTGTATGAGCTGAGGAACAGCTGGGTCACTGTGCTGTGAATTCAGCAGTGCTCTGCACAGCACGGGCACAGGTGAGTGGCACAGCAGGGAGGACAGCACCAACTCACCTCTCTGGCACTGGCTTTTCCAGAATCGCTTGCAGTAGATGATGGAAAGTGCCAGAAGCACCAGGACGATGATGACCAGGGCACTGCTGGTCAGTGCAAGAAGGGCTGTGTCCTGTGGTGGTACAGTAGGGACAGCGACCTTCACCAGGTTTGTTCTGGAGCGACCTGCAAACATCCACACAGCATTGGAGCCAAACTCCGAGGCTTGGACCACCCCTTCCCTGCCCATCCCTCACCCCATGCCTGGCTGTGCCTCCCCCAGCAGGGCTGTGGCTCCTCTGTGCCCAGATCACCTGCCCTGAGCCCAGCAGGGTGGGACACCTACACTGTGGCTCGGAGGACGGCGTCTGCTTGGTGCAGGGGATGCACTCCCACTCCAGCTGCCCGCTGATCCGCGCCTTCCTGTAGAACCTGGAACACAGCACACGGGCTCAGCTCAGCCTGGTAACCTGGGCTGCCACCACCCTGCTGTGCAGCCAGCTGTGCCACCCACCCCACAGCACAGGGGACACCTATCCTGCACCCCACAGCACAGGGGGACAGCTATCCTGCACCCCACGGCACAGGGGGGACAGCTATCCTGCACCCCACAGCACAGGGCACAGCTATCCTGCACCCCACAGCACAGGGGGACAGCTATCCTGCACCCCACAGCACAGGGGGACAGCCATCCTGCACTCCTGCTGTCAGACAACAGGAGCAACAGGGCTCTCATCGCTGGCTGGAGCCACACCACACCTACTTGCTCATGTCTAGACATTTGTCAAGAAGCAACATCTTTCCAACAGCCAACCCTCCCCAGCATGTCTGCTGAAGTGGATTTTAATGGTTAATAGCTCCCTACAGGGCTGGGAACAGCCCAGCTATGGCTCTGTCTGAGAAGAGACTCTACACTGGAGCTGGCCAGCAGTGTCTGCAGCACAGGCTGGCTGTATGCAGCCATTTCATTACAGTAACCCCTTAAACCCCCTCTTTGGGGACTACTAACCACAGTGGTCTACAACACTTCATCTTCCAGGGCTCAGCCACCCCGGTGTCTACAGAACAATGAGAGTCTGGAAGTTTTCTTTCACAGCTCATTTATGTGAGCCTTGAGGTTTCCTTCTCTGGAGCTACACCAGGACCCTCCAGAGGGGTCTGACTTCCACACCATTAGCAGCGTCCTCACAGAGACACCACTGGGTCACCAGGCTCCTCTTGGGTGCCCTGTGGGACCCTGGGTGGCCCCCTGTGCCCAGCCCCTCCCTGCCTGCCCCAGGTGTGGCTGTGCAGGCCCAGCCCTGCTCACCCCGGCAGGCACTCCCCGCAGACAGCGTCGGCCGTGGCTGTGCAGTTGGATTTCTGCACGCGGTTGATGAGGGCACAGGACAGGCAGGGCTTGCAGCCGTGGTGTCCCCAGCGGTCCTTGAACTTCCTGGGGGGGCAGGCCACGCACTGCGCGTCCCCGCCGCTGCCATCGCCGCAGTCCTGCAAGGGGACAGGGTGGGGACACTTGGTGAGGGGCTCCAAATGGTGCCGAGTGTCCCTTCTTTGAGGGCAAAAGGCCACGGTTCACGTGGGGTCCTCAAAACCCAGCTAAGAGCAGCCACAACCAGTGCAGCTCCCAGGTGACACTCAGGGACCCTGTCTGCTCCCAGCTGGGCCCCACCAGTGTGCTCTGGGTGTCGAAAGCTCCAGCAGCACCACCAGGTGAACCCTGCTGCCTCCCACCAACCCAAGTCCCACCACTGAGACCCTCTGCATCCCCTGCAGCAGTGTCCTGCTGGCACCCACCCATGTGCAGCCCAGCCACGCAGTGTGACCTTGCTCAGGGCTCTACAGCCCAGAGGAAATTTAGACTTCCACCAGCAAAAAAGGAAATCAGGTTGTTCCTTGTGCTGCCTTAAATCCCTCATCACCTCCTGCTTCCATTGTCTCACCTTTCCACCAGGGTGAGTGAAACAAGCCACCATCCCATCCTGCCAAGTCTCAGCTCTTCCCAACATGCTGGGACCTAAGATCACCTTTCTGAAGGGAGGCTGGCAGAGGATTAACTCAGCTATGCCACCCATGATGATCTCTGCTCCTTACAGAGAAGTCAATTTACCTTGGAAAGCTCCTGCCCGGGCATGCACTTCCTGCAGGGGACACATTTCTTCTGGTCATCCAGGTACTCACTCTCTTGGCAGGCCATTGTGCTGAGAGGGGAGCTTGGGGACGAGAGGAAGAGAAGGCAGAGGGATCAAAACCAGCCCTAACACATTTGGGATGAGCAGTGTGCCCATCTCTGGGTAGACTTCTCCACCTGGCCAGGACAGCAGCCAGCACTGCTGAGCACTGTGGGTGGGACTTGGGCAGGAGGTAATTCCTGCTTCTTCCACATGGCTCCATCAGCCCCAGGCTGGTCATGGGCTGCCCCATTCTGCTGCCATCCCACAGCCTCACAATGCAGCAAATGAAATTTCAGTCACAGCATTGAAGTACTGACCACGAACTGCTCGGGTCACCAGTGCATTCTGCCAGCCCCAGCTGTGGCTCTGGGTGCCAGAGACAATCAGGAGAGAGCCTGGCCCCAGCAAAGGCTCAGCAAAAAAAAAAAAAGCCTGGAGCTGTGCAGTCTCTCAGGCTCTTGCTCCATGCACATTTCATCTCTGCATGGTGTCACTCACAGCAAACAGAACAAGCTCCCACCTCCCTCTGAAACACCTCCAGAGCCTTCCCCAGGTGCATGAATAGCTCAGCAGAAGGTAACACCAGAACCAGCCCAGGACCAGCATCTCAATCACAGCAAGCAGTTCAGACTGTGTCTGCAAATCTGAGCAATTTATGTGGAGTTTTGGGGCTGCCTGATTATTTCTGCAGATTCTAGAGGGGTTCTTCCCATGACGACAGACAGGGAATAAAATCCATTTTCACTAGACCAATCTCCACTTTGCTTTTCCTATTACCTCGTGCAGAAAATCAGGAGAGAAACTGTTCAACCTGCCTTGGGAGCAAGTTCTCAACACCCATCAGGAATAGTGAACATATTTTGGAGGACACCAGCATAACTGCCTGGAGAACCAGAGCTGTCCTCTGGGAGGGAAGCTTGGCCAGATGTCTGGCTCTTGCAGCAGAGGGGGGATCATCTACAGAGCCCCCACAGCTCCTTCCCCTCCCACAGCAGCATTCCTCTGCAGGCTTTTTCTGCCTAATCCCACCACTCCCTTGCCGGTGCCTTGTGGAAGAGGACACTTGGCTGGGCTCCCCCGGCTCTGGAGGGCCGAGATTCATGGGAGATGAGGTCTGCCCAGACGAGCACAGAGCATGAGTCACCCTCCCTGCTGCTCACAGCACATGGGCTGATGCAGGATCAGCAGCCAAGCCCATGGGGACAGGCCAGCAGGGGCTCAAGGGACTCGGGAGGGGCACGGGCACAGCTTGTAACTGGCATAAAGGTCCTGACACCACTGAATAAAAGAAGATTTGTCACCATCTCAGAAGGTGGTGATCCCAGTGTCTCTGTCTCAAGCACAGGGTGGGGTGTCAGGGTTCAGCTACAGGTTGAATGCAGGAGGGAAAATAAAAAGCGAGGAGCCATGTCCCAGATGAATGACACACAGCTCCTCTGGGGGCTGGCACACTGGGCAGGTGCCACCCAGCTGGTCCAGGAGCCCAGCATGCCACAGGACTGGAGTTTGGGTCAGGATTGTGCTCCTAATTACAGCACAAGATGAATGAAACAGGATTGCAGGCAACAGGAAAGGAACTCAGACACCAGAGTAGGGAGAGCAAGGGGCTGATTTTTACCTGCCCTCTGAAGTGCTGTAACGCAAGGAAAAGAGCACTAGTAGAAAAAAAAAGTCAACAAAACAAACAAACAAAAAACCAAAACAACAACAACAAAACAAAAACAAAAAACCCAAACCATCAGGGTTTTTGGTGAAACTGTCCTGTGAAAACAACTTTGCCACTTTTCCTCATATATTTACAGAATTTTCCAGCCTTTCAAAGGGCCTGCAGCTGAGACAATGCCCTCAAAGTCCCCATCCCACAAGAACCCAGCTTAAAGCAGTTTGCCAAATACAGAAAGTTACACAGGCCAAAGGAATCCTGTGTCAGGGCTGCTCCAAGCACAAGGAGCTCTGCCAGGATGATGGAATCACTCAAGATGGGGCAGACAGCCATACCCAGTGTGCCAGCAGGATACTGGGCACAGGGCAGCTCTGCTGCTGCTCAAGTGTGACAATACAGGGAACCAACACCTGGTTGAGTATCAGGCATGAAATTCAAAGCTGGGGGATCTTTGTAATTCTTATTTCAACCCCACCAGACCCAAGACATTTGATTTATACATGGAGGACACACCTAAACCACCTGGTGCTGCTCTAGTACGGCAGCAACCATAGATCCCCTAATGTTTGACTGAAACAACTGGAAAAGCCAAGGAAAAGCCAAAACCAACAATTCCCACCTCTTTGGGAGCCACATGGAGTCTCCCTGACACTTCCAGGGCTGCACATTTTATCTGCCACAGGAGAATATAAAGGTGACACAGTAACAATGAGTATTCATGGGGCACAGTATCGATGTACTCAGAGGTTGAGGGGAAGAAGAACCTCCTGCCATCAGTCCCAGATGTATGAGATCCAGCTTGAAAACATCTCTAATTTGTTAAAGAACTCTTTTATTGCCTTAAAGAGACATCCTGCCTGAGCAGGAGAGCAGAATGGGCTCCCCACTGCATCAGCCCTTAAGATACCAAAGCCATGAGCTGCTGAATGAGTTTCACTGCATGAGATGAAATGGTTCCAGCAGAGCCACAGCATGAGCTGCAGTTCATCCACCCTGTGACAGCACCACAGCTCAGCCATTGTCTTTTCTCTGTGAAAGTGTCATTTTCAAAAAAAAAAAAATTAGACTGTATTGGAATCCAATCTATTTCTTTTATGTGCAGCTAAAGGCTTATGGGAGGAAAACAAGGGTGAGGAAAATAATAAGTGAGAAGGTACAAAATGAAAGCAATCAGTGAAACCTTCAGTGCTGCTGATTCTCCCCATGTGCCCAGCAGGGGCTGGGGCAGGGGGGCTGGCAGGGATGCAGGCAGGCCAGGAGGAGATGGGGTGGGGGCTGCTTCCCATCTCAGCCACAGACCCTGTGCCCTCCAGCCATGGGGCTCTGCTTGCCTGGGACAGGAGGTGCCCAGACCCACCTCAGGGGCTCAGACACCCACCCAGCAGTGGCTCTTCCACATCACCACGTGAGCCAGAACACACATTACAGGAGATTTCCACCCTGCCGCAGGACTGACTGGCACAGTCAGGCAGCACCATGCCTCGGGATGAGACACTTGTATACACTGGAACCTAAGAACAAAGAGCTGAAATCCTAAATAAGAGCTGCAAGTGAAAAGCAGGGGGGAAAAATGCTCTCTGGAAAATATGAGTGCATGCCTCACGGCTGGCCACAGTCAGCTCCAGTCTCCTGCTCAGCCATTCCCTCCCTGTGGTCCAGGCAGGGTCTCCTCATCTCCCTGTGCTACAAACTGTGCTGGGAGAGCCTTTACAGCAGTGGGACTCCTCTGGGAAAAGGGTGTCTCACAGAAGAAAAAAAGGTGGGATCCGAAGCTTTCCACGTGGCCGGGAAATCAGCAGGTTTCCCAAACTGGAGATTCTACACACACAACTGCCCACTAATAGTTTTGTCCCCAGGGAGTGGCTGGGGACCTGTGTTTGCTATAAGTGAAAGCACCGTGCCTGGGGTGGGCAGGAAGTGCTCCGGGCTGCTCTCACCCCTCTTTAGCGCACAGCAGGAGTCCCCAGGGCACAATTCCCACTTCCCAGTGATTTCTGCCAAGTTAGGGCTGCCCACCTTGGGAACCTATACGCTGCCTTACCAGGTATCTCAAGTAACACCTCCAAATCTCCCATCAATTTGCATAAAACTTTGGATTTCCATCTGGTTTTTGCCCCTCATCTAATTCTTAATAACTTTCACTATCTTCCGGCAATTATCAGAAAACCATTGTAGCCGTAAAAGCTCTCCGAAACCAGGAGTCCAATTGTGCCCCCAGCACTAACCCACGTCCCCAGGTGCCACATCCCCGCGTCCATTGGAACTCCCCAAACGGTGACTTCACCCCTCCCTGTGGCGGGACATGAAATTTCTTTGGGGAAAAACTTGTGCCTAATACACAACCTAAACCTCTCGACCCCCGTGTCTGGCAGCTGCTCCTGTCTGGAGAAATAGCCGAGGCGAGACGGGACGGGACGGCGGCGAGGGCAGCGCGCTGCGCCCACGCTGGTGCCGGCGGTGGGCGCGGCCCGGCCCGGCCCGGCTCAGCCCGGTTCGCCCACCGCCCCCGCAGCCCGGCCAGACCCCGCCGGCGCCCCCCGCCGCCCGCTCGGGGTTGGCGGCAGCGCGCCGGGATTTGCCCGGGCACGTCCCGGCCAGGGGCTCCGCCGCGGCACGACCGCCCCGCACCGCCCGCCCCGCATCCCCCGGGACCCGGCGCCGGGCTCCGCATCTCCCGCTGCCCGCACCCCTCGGGCCGGTGCCGCCCGGCCCGGTACCGCCGGCGTTCAGCGGTGAGCACGGAACCGGCTGCAGCCCACGTGTACCGCTGCCGCCGCGCTGAAGGGAGCGGAACCCGCCGCAGGTCCCGCCGCTACCCCCGACCCGCAACCGCCTCCGCCCGGCGGTGACACCGGCACCGGGGACGGTCCGGACCGCCGAGCGGGCGGGCAGGTGCGCGACCCCCGCGGGTTACCTGTCTCGGTGCTAGCAGCACGGCACGGACCGGATCGGGACCGGCAGGGCGGCGGGACCAGGAGAGACGGCGCGGACCCGGAGCCGGACCGGCACCGCAGGGCAGCGACTCGGCGGCCCCGCGTGGAGCGGAGCGGGTCGGAGCCCGTCCCGTCCCGGGCACCGGGAGTGCCCCCGCCCCGCCCCGCAGCTCCATTGGCGGCGGCGCCGCCGGGGCGGGGCCATGCGGGGAGCGGCGCCGGCGGGGGCGGCCGGGGAGCGGCACCGGGGGAGTCTGGGCGCGGCAGCGCCGGCGTGTCCCGCTGTCACCGGCCGGGGTGTGACACTAGAGACCCCCGGGCTTGCGGGACCTTGTTCCTGAATACCCGGGGTTGTCCCGCGCCTCAGGTGCGGGCCGGAGGCTGAATGAGCCCCGAGCCGTGCGGGAACACCAGGAAGGAATAAACTCCCGGGTTCCGAGTGCCACGAACGGTGTGTGTACCCTGTGTAGGGTGGGCAGTGTGTGTATGGTTTGTGTGGGCAGCACACACCGGGCACGGCCAGCCCCAGGGCAGAGGGCTCTCCCAGGATCAGCATTCGCGTCCCCCAGCACTTGCCGTGACTCACCCGCGGTCTCTGGGTGGCTCTGGGGAGCCGCAGAGTTATCCCAGGAGTGCCGTGCACTGACCGACTCCACCGCGGTGTGAACCAAACTGGTGTGTGGAACTGAACCTCCTTGTGCAGGGGCAGGCAAATCTCCCAGTGACAGCCCTTGGTGCTCCCCATTCAGTGCGCTGTCCCCGAACTGCTGTCCCTCAGTCCTGACCCTGCTGACAGGACCCTGCTGCCTTGCCGCTGCCTTCCCAGCCTCCGGGAGGGACAGGATGGGCGCTCAGTGCTGCTCATTTCTGTGCCCTGGTTCCTGTGCCAGGATGAGTACCTGAACTGTGTTTGGGTGTAAACCTGTTATTTTGAGGAATGGTCCCCATTTCTCTCTCTTTCCTTTTTTCAAACCTCAGGCACTGTCATTCCAGCCAATGCCTTTTGAGAACTCTCCTCATCTGCCCACTGTCACTGTGGAGCAGCTTCAGACTGTCAAGTAGGAATAACTGAAAGGATTTAATGAAGTAACTGAAAGGATTTAATGAGACTCTGTTGAGCAGTCAACTTCACAAAATTATCATGGTTGGAAAAGGCCTTTAAGAACACCGAATCCAAAAGTTACCCCGACATGCAGCGTGTTCAGCACTAAACAATGCCCCAGGTGCCACCCCTCACCTTTTGAACGCCTCCAGGGAAGGTGATTCATTCCATCAGTGCCTTGAACAACCTGTGCCTGGCCACTTTTTTGGTGAAGTTTTCCTTCATATCCAGCCTGAACTTCCCTTGGTGCAATTTGGGGCTGTTTCCTCTCACCCTGTTGCTGTTCCCTGGGAGCAGAGCCCAAACCCTCGGCTGTCCCCTCCTGTCAGGAGCCGTGCAGAGCCACAAGGTCCCCCCCGAGCCTCCTTTTCTCCAGGCTGAGCCCCCGCAGTGGGACCCGCTCTTCCTCTCCCTGTCCCTCCTTATCTGGTGGCATTTCTCACCCGGTGTTCCAGCCGGTCGCAGCGAGGGGAGCTCGGAGGAGCCGCTCGGGGCGGCGGGGATGATTTTTGGATGATTTTTGGATGATTTCAGCGCTCGCACGGGCGGGCGGGCGGCTCCGCGGGGCCGCGCCTGATGCAATCGCCCCATTGCATCACCCGCGGCTCGGGGGGGGTCCGTGGGGCACAGAAACACCCGCGGGGGCTGTCGCGGAGCGGCGCCGTCACCGAGCGCGGTGCCGTCGGCAGGGGTCACCGCGGGATGGGCTCTGGGGGAGCCGATGACAGCAGAAAGAAGGATCTGCAGACAGAGCGGCCGGCTCGGGTGGGCACGGGCAGAGTGCCCGGAGAGGGATGCTGGTGCCTGGCTGCGGGGCTGGGGTGGTTGAGGCTAGTTAGTGGTGGTTGGTGGTTAGTTAGTGGTAGTTTGTGTGGTTTGTGGTTGGTTAGTGGTGTTTAGTGGTGGTTAGTGCTTGGTTAGTGATAGTTTCTGGTGGTTTGTGGTTAGTTAGTGGTGGCTTGTGGTTGGTTGGTGATAGTTTGTGGTGGTTTGTGGTTAGTTAGTTGTGGTTTGTGGTTGGTTTGTGGTGGTTTGTGGTAGTTTGTGGTTGGTTAGTGGTGGTTAGTGATAGTTTCTGGTGGTTTGTGGTTGGTTAGTTGTGGTTTGTGGTTGGTTTGTGGTGGTTAGTGGTGGTTTGTGGTGGTTAGTGGTTGGTTAGTGGTAGTTAGTGGTTTGTGGTTGGTTAGTGGTAGTTAGTGATAGTTTGTGGTGGTTTGTCATTGGTAGTGGTAGTTAGTGATAGTTTGTGGTTGGTTAGTGGTGGTTTGTAGTTGGTTAGTGGTGGTTAGTGATAGTTTGTGGTGGTTTGTGTTTGGTTAGTGGTAGTTTGTGGTGCTTAGTGGTTGGTTAGTGGTAGTTAGTGGTTTGTGGTTGGTTAGTGGTAGTTAGTGGTGGTTTGTGGGTGGTTAGTGGTAGTTTGTGGTTAGTTAGTGGTAGTTAGTGGTGGCTTGTGGTTGGTTAGCGGTAGTTAGCGATAGTTTGTGGTGGTTTGTTGTTGGTTAGCGGTAGTTAGGTGTTTTGTTGTTCGTTAGTGGTAGTTTGTGGTGGTTAGTGAGTGGTTAGTCAGTGGTGGTCCTCACTGAGGTCCTGTGCAACCACACTGCTCCAGCCAGCCTGATCCCACCAGCTCTGTGTCAGAGACCAAACCAGGCAGTCCTGACCAATCCCAGTTCCTGTCCGTTGGGCTGGATGTTCTGATGTGGTTTATTTCCCAGCTCAATCAGCCCCTGGCAGCCAAGCCAAGAGAACATCTGGGAGAGCTGCTATTCCCAGATGCAGGGATGGCTGTGTCAGGTGAGTGCTGCACAGCCTGCAGGTTTGGGTGTGCTTTGCAGGCTGAGGCCCTGGAGATGTGAGCCTCAGCTTACAGAACTGTGTTCTCAAGTGTCTGGTGCTGTGATCATCCGATACGCCCAGCGTCACGTTGTCTCCGTTCAGTTGTAACTGTGCTGCATAATTAACAGAATTAGTGCATTGAGGGTTAGCAAAACCAGGAATTCTGAAGCAGAGACCCGTTTTACAGTTTGTTTTTTTTTTTACACACTGGAGCATTCACAACACTAGAGGGCACCGAGACCAGGCAGGAATCAGCTGGGAAGGCGAAGCAGATTGTGAGCACGGACATGCGGGCACACGGACACGTGGACACACGGACACAGAAACACCCTCCATGGCACAGGAGGATCATCCCCTAACACACAGTGTGGTGCAGAAAGCAGTCTCCCCGGAGTGCTTTTCCACACTGAATCCCGGGTTTTGCAGGATTGAATCCCGGGTGTTTCCGTGGGCGGGCAGGCACGGGCAGGACACGGGGCATCCCCGCAGGAGTGCGGGAAGGGACGGGCCAGCGCCGCTCCAGCGTTTTCCCAGAGGGGAATTGTTGTGGTTTTGTGCTGCCAGAGGAGTGAAGAGCCCGGGATCTCTGTTGAGCAACTCGGCTGATACCGCTCGGGCTCTGCAGAGGCTGCTCCGGTCTGGTGTCAGCAGAGGGCACTGGGAGATCGCCGGGAGCCTGCCCGAGCCCAGGGGCATCAGCAGCTCCCCGAGCTTCGTGTACGAAGGTCACAGATCCAGTTGTGCCTTGTCCTTTTCTCTCCTTCTGCTGTTGTACGCAGTTTCACTCGTCCTCTCCCTTTCCTTTCCTTTCCTTTCCTTTCCTTTCCTTTCCTTTCCTTTCCTTTCCTTTCCTTTCCTTTCCTTTCCTTTCCTTTCCTTTCCTTTCCTTTCCTTTCCTTTCCTTTCTTTCCATTCACTGCCACTGAGTCCATCTGACTCTGAGGACAGATGCAGTTCCTGAGATGTGGTCAGCACACACACAATCCATCCAAAATGAATCCAGCCCTAAATGTGTGTGTACATCCTCTGCCAGACCTGCAGCTGGGATCAGGAATTGGGCTGAAACCCAGCAATGCAGGAGCAAACTGCTGCCTGAAGTATGTCCTCAGGATTTAATGCAAAATCAACTGTTCTCACCCACCTGGCAGCAACTATGGCTGTGGCACAGCTATGGCATTATTGCACAACTAAATAACATTTCAGCCTTTGCCCAGGGAATCTTGCAGAGATCTGTTTCAGGAGGGCAGCCACAGCATGAAGGCAGCTGCAATCAGGGTGATTTTTCAATGCACCATGATCTTTGTGCAATCTTTTGCTCTCACTTGTCCCCACAGCTTCATTCTGTGCAATCAATCATATTTTTGAATTGATTTTTCAAACTTACTTTCAAATCCTTGCAGGAGCTCCCTCTGTATGAGACACTGGGTGTCCAGGGGCCACAGGCATCACTTATCCCTGTTTTCCACTCAAAGCTGAGCTCTGACCTTGCAACCTAATGTTGACCTATGGAAAGTAAGAAAAGCAAATTTTATTTTTTTTTCCCACTGAAAAAATTCTGATCAGAAAAAGCTGCTCATGGCACACACAGCATCTTGCCCTGAAGAACACTTTCCACCCTGGTGTGAGAGGAATCCTGTAGTTACCTCCCACCTATCTCCATATTTACAGCCTTCATTAGCAGCTGGGTTATTGTTTGGTGGCCTTTTGTCTTTCCTTGGCAGTGACAATGACTTTTTCTGCTGTGTTATAAAGGAGCAGCCATGTCCATGAGGCTGTTCCAGGTCATTTTCACAGCACGGTGATCACGGGCTCAGGGCAGGCAGCTCCAGCACTGCCAGCCTGGGATGTGGGGCTGCAGAGGTGGAAACTGCTTAAAGAGGGGCCCAGGCCATCATTCCTCTTGCTGCACACCATGGAGGAAGCTGTCATTGTGTCAGTCTGCTCTGAAGGACCCAGTGCACTCACAGCCTCAAACATTTCTCGGCCCAAGCTCTTGGAGTGCCCAGGAAAGTTGCTCAGAAATCCAGGCAATGTTATCTTTGATGTGTTTCTTCCTAGGTTCATTTTCTTTTGGAAGACAAAAGCAAA